ATTTGAGGATGGTGTTTAATTTTGTGCATTGAAAATAACCACCAAACAATAATAAAAAGTCTCTACAGAAAACTGCTTCTGAAATATTTTTGTGGCCCATAAGGGATGAATTTATTTGATGGAGTTACTAAAATGCAGTCTCTGTGTGTAAAATACACACAGTTGCTAAAATACACACAGTCTCCCCCCACTTACTAGTTTAGACAATAATCTGCTGATTGTTCATTTTTATAGAAACATTGTGTTTAGAGAAACAATGTCATTATATATTGTATTTTATATTTGTATGACCTGATAAATAAACCAATAAGCCAAAATGCAAAGATAAAAAGATTGACAATATGGTTAAATATCCATACATATTTTATAAATTCATTTTTAAAATTGTATATTTGATTGTGATTAGTGACATTTAAATACATAAACACATACAGCAGAACACAATTTATGTAAATTTGGAATTAAAATGAATTCTCTACATTTTCTTTGGAAAATTCATTGAAAAGCGAGCCATGTTTGATGTGAATGTTCCAGAAATGGGTGGACTCATATTATTGTAAAACTGACAATGAATTGGCAGCCCTGAAATATTTACCAACGCAATTAGACGTCAGTATGTCAATATTTATGCAGCCTTTTCTTTAGCAAATATTTGACTCCTATAAATGAATTGCATAGAAACAAAACCAAATGTTCTGGTTTTCTCAATAGTATGTTTTCCTGAGTTTTGGCTTTAAGCCAATTCAGATGCTTTGACATACCAAGAATTACTGATAAACTGAAACAGATTTGTGGTGAGGTTTAATGGTCCAAAATTGGTTAAAAGTCTTAAAAGCAGCTACAGAAAACGTTTGGTGGAGCCTTGGCTGTTATTAAATTCATGTTTTCTCACGGTCTCCATCCTGCAAGGATTTTCTTTTTTTTAATAAAAAAATATGAAAAGTAAAATTATTTTTGTTATTAGTCAGATTGTGTCTATATGTGTGCGTTAAACTGAGATTAAACCGCATTTTCTGCACTCAAAACAGATATTTTCAAAGGCCTCACAAACTTATTCTTACCACAGTGACTCCAAACGGGACTGATATAACAAAAAAAAAATTATACAAATAATTTTCTGTATTCATTCATTCATTCATTCATATAGGTATAGACATGAAAGAAGTGCACATAAATGAAGTAAACAAATGACTGCAGTTTATTCTGACTTTTATTGGCCTCTGTGTTTTGAACTCCAAGTAAAATCTTTACATGCAAAACACTTCCCTGCTGTGCAAGTACATGCACTATATATATATATATATACAATTGCATCATGAATGAAAGACAAAATTTATACAATAATCATTCACAAACTAAACTGGCAAATATGGTTGTAAGTATTAGACTGGTGTGCTCTATTTTGTTTGTTTTTTGAAAATGGCATTGATACAATCATAGATAGCTCTGTATGTGAATAAGACGTCATGAAAAATACAGCAAGATCAAATTCATTTTGAAAACCAAATTGACCCATCTGGACTACAAAAGGTTAGAGTTCGTGTTCAACTCGATCTCACAGGAAAACAACTATTTTACAAGGTGGCAATTTCATATGAATTTGTATATGTATGAATGAGATCATGTGTAAACATACGAATGAGATCGTACACATTTTTGACCAATTCGACAAAATGTAAAATAGTTGCCGTGAGATTGTGTTGGTCGTTTTTATTTTTATTTTTAATATGATATTCATTGAGGTTCACTTATTATACTTGCTCTAAATGTATTAATAAGTGAGCATTTTTCACTATACAACCAAATCACTCCACTTTGTGGACGCTTGCCCTTTGAGACTTCAATATCAACGACCACTGTTATACTTAAATATCCTAATTTCACAAAGTACTGATTTTGCTGACTTTGAGTGTTTTTATAGTACAGTGACCTCTCATATATCAAATATCAAGGAAACCTTGATTCCACATGACATTACCCTTTCAAATTTTCTGTGATGTCAAACAACAGGCAACCACACTTCTGGGTTCTTCACACAAGCATCTTATAGTGATAGACATGAGCAGTGCTGCGGTTCTAATGATCTGTTTTGGCATTATACAGTTGGAGCTGGCACAGATGGTGGTGCGGCCCATATATAAACAACTGGCGTGCTCATGGGGACCCAGGTTTGAGTCTGGCTCAAATCATGTCCCAGTCCCTTTCCTGTATTCTCTCCCCAAAAAAATAGCTTTATCTTTATTCATCATTTAATTTGTTGGACGTATAACAGGATGTTCTAAAGCCTAAGGCATGACATGTAAGTAAAATCAGATAAGCAATGCGTCTTTATTGCTTAAATACACATTTGAAAATTTGAAAACATTCTGGAGCTTAAGTTGTGGACATTATGGGTGGGTGACATACTGGTTGACACAATTTTTGGACTATCGCGGTACGCACTCATATGATGTTGCTGTGCTGCGCCATCATAAAAGCTTATCGTTTGCATGCGTTTTTAAGCATTCCGGTTTAAAAACAATTGATTTTAAACAGTTAAAACACAATAAGCAGCGAAAGATAACTCATTTCGCTATATGCACACGCTGTCTGATGGTTTTTGAGTGCTGTCTAAGGGGCCGTTTACATGACACCATTTTCAATTAAAAATGGCCTTTCATTTACACGACAACAGTGTTTTGGGGGGCTGAAAAAAGCAAACTTTTGAAAACGGGTTTCAAAGTGCACGTTTTTGAAAATGATACTGTTATCGTCTCCGTCTAAACTACAAAAACATGAATCTGTGAAAATGGTGATGGCATGCACATGCGTATTACGTGTTCAGTCTATAGATTTACATCGCCAACTACTGGCCTGGCATGCATAATACAGCGTTTTTAGTCATTTTCGCTGATCCATGTGAGTGGAGATAGTTTTGACAACATTGTCATCTGTACAAAGATTTTTTTTTTCTGTTTTTAATACATCGTTGTTGTGTAAACATGAAGCCGCTGCTCATAGAGCGCAGGCACTGAGTTCTTTTTGCCGATTAAATACACACACTTATGTCAAAATCCCAGTCTTTGCCAGTATCCTCATAAACACAGTCATTTATGTCTTAAGTGAATGTAAACAGTTGAGAAAAAAACTCATGTGTAACAGTATATTGGATCAGTGCATTCGGTCTTAAAGTGACAGCAGCCTAATAAACCTGCTGTCATCTGTGTGATTAATGTAAAAAAAAAGAGAAAATCTCTCAATGCTCTTAAATCACTTTTGTCTCACTTTAACAAGAATAAATGTATATTTTTTACATAGGCTAGTGTTCGTTTTTTGTGATTGAAATTGGTGACAAGAATAATTAAATTTCTATGAAATTATTTTAAATTTTGATGATATAAAAACCTCATTTAAAGCAAAAATAATTACATTGTGATATATATCGTTATCGTGAAATAAAATTACTCGTGATATAAGATTTTGGTCATATCACCCACCCCTTTTTTTGTTTAAATACATATATTTGATCACATAAATAATCATATTTGATATTGATTAGGATTAATAAACACTGTTTTTGATTGTACAGTTACTTCGAGCATAACAAAAATCAACAACAAAATTTTCGCATTTTTCAGCTTTGAAAGGTTTTCATTCTCATATCTTTTCATAAAAAGCCAATGCGTGCCACAGTAGTGCCGAGACCAGGTCCTGTTAGATCACTGATGGTCTTTTGGTGATTTAGGACCAAATGTATTCTACAAAACATACTATCACCACAAATATGGTTTAAAATGTAAAATCAGCTGTTTGTGTGATGCCTTGGTGAAATGCAAATCTACCAACAGCAGCAGTGGGGCAATTGGTCATACTAGAGCAGAGGTTTTGTCCATGATCAGTGAATTCTCACAATTTGTGTATATTGTAAACTCTGTGTAAACCAGAGTTTGCTTTGATCCAGCAATCTTGATGGAAAAACTTCAAAGCTCCAAAAATCTTTTGGAAACATGTTTTAGCTCTTCAATTTAGAATTTTAAGCTCTGTTTCTGGGTTCCTGAACACCCCGGAAGTGTCGCTGTGAAGCGTTTGTTGGTAAACAGTAATTTCATCTACAGGGTGTAAATTATACAAAGAAAACGAATTGCATTCACAATGATCACAGACACTCTCATGTATTAGAGCTGGTTATAATAGCAAAGAATGGAAATGTTGAGGTCATTCCATTGTAAATGTGCTTTCCTGATGCAATCCTGTGATTGGACTACAGTCACAAGACAAACAGGCTGCAGGTGACTAATTAAAGTAATATTGGCTTGCTTCACAGCCATTAGACTAGTCTATTCTTTTATGAAATAATTTAATTTGTCCATGGAAGTTGTTGTCTTCACACAAGGGCATTTGTATTTTCAGCGCATTAAAGACCACAAATAAGACGCATGTTTGAAATGGTTTAGTGGAATAGTGTGCTTACATAGAAGTGTTGTTATAAACCAGGCACACCAAGCAATGTGTTACAAAATTGCATTCATTGGAAGATTATCTAACCTAAGTCATATTAAATGTATCCTTGTCAAACAGATCACATACAATGATTTGTAATGGTTTAAAATTCTTAAACATTCTTTGGATTTAGTCTTATCTGTGCTGTGTAAACATCCCTACATGCTGTTTCCCTATTTGTTTGAAATAATTATTTAAATTTGATGTTGAAGGTGTTAAATAAGTCAATAAAGTGTTATTTTTGTTAAAGTGTGAATCTGACATTCTAAATGGCCTGTAAACATTCATAGACTGGGTAAAACTGGTTAAAATAGGGCTTATGTATTCTGTATCTGCCTCTTTTTTTAAGGAGAAAGACTTTATAATTATTTTTAATAACAGGTTGCTAAGACTAAGAGACATGATATTAACGCATTCCCACAACAAGGTAAATATTTTGAGTTTTTACAGTTGTTCTTAAACTTTAACTTAAAAAAAAAACACAATGCTACTTTGGCCAGATAAGAGAACATGACATGACATAACAGTGCAGTTCTTTTACTTTTCAATGCTAACCGATGGTCATTTGTATGTAAGTCACAGTGAACAGTAGAGCTCCAGACATCACATTTTGTTCTTTGAAAGCATATTGTGTGTCAGCCGGACAAGAGCAAGATCGGTACAACCCAAAATATGCATTAGTGGAGGGTAATGGAGTTGGCAAATGGGCCAAGTACAACTTAAGGAAGTGAAACTGTCAAAGGCATGCACAAAACTTAAAGAGCCTAATCACTTGAGATGTGATTCTCGTTATGAAGAGTATGCCAACGCTCAATCTTCTTGTCTTTGTTCTTTAGGCATTCATACCAGTGCTTCAAACGCTCACCTTTGGCAGTGATTCCAAGCTGGCAGCCCCCTGATCAGGAAATATTAGTAGTATTAAAACATACCAATGCAATGTTTATTTTCAATAGAGGAATGAAATGAAAGTCAGTGGTGAATGGTCAATTTGAAACATAATGACAACTGTTAACACCTAGTATCAACATATTTTCTGGTTGATCCGTTCACAAGTAGACATTGCTAAATATATGTGCAAATGGGATCAAGATGACGTAGACCAAACCCAAAACCGGTTCGGTTCCATCACCCTGAATTCAATGGGGTTTTTTTTGGTTAAATGCTTGAAATAAGGTCTGTGGTTAACACAAGCTCAAGGTATTTTCATGTTCTATGACATAAAATACATCAATATTACCCTCTTGTGATTTTTTGAAAAGATTTACTGGTATTGAAAAAGGCGGTTGCTAACAAGTGTCTAAATGGTACTAAAGAGGTTGGGGAAACTTTCAGGGAATTTTTTTTATTTTTTAATAAAGATTGGAAAAGTTATCAGAAGCTTAATGGTGGAGACATTGAAGTCGTACGACCGTGGTGTATTTTGTTTATAACCTATGTCACGCTTTTTACTTCTTCCGATTGTATTCTTCTGAATTGCAAAATTCATAAGTTGTGTTATTTTGTGAAGATAACCATGATGAACACAATGTGTAAGAATATTTTGTTAGTCACAAAGCTTATTTTCTCTAAAAAATTAAAATCCTATAAATTGAAAAATCCTATTGGTTTTTTAATTGTTATTTTTATTTTCAAAATTGACATCTTCACTTTCAAATATTATTACAAATTTGTTAAAGAGTTCCCCATCTGTCAGTCACTACAACGTTTTGTCAACTGACAAATGGGGTCTCCCTTGGGAGGCCCAATCACCTCTGAGTTTTCGAAAAACGGCCAATGAAGTTGGCCTCCCCCAAATAAACAGGTATATAAGATGCCGGCCCACATCCACTCATTCAGATTTTGCTTCGGAGCTGAGTGGTTGCAGACAGTGGTTACTCTTTCCAGTCACAAAGCAATGATAAGAGTGTGCAATGGAAAAGATCTCTCTCGCTGGTGGAAGAGGGCACATTCAGTGGGTTTCGCCATTCACAAAGAGAGCAGTGCACAGTAAAGTGCAGTGAAATCCCCCTGTGCGCTTTAGCACAAAAGAGCAGATTTTCCTAAAAGAGCAAGCACGGCAGGCGAGCGACTTTTCAAAGATGCCTTTCCGTCCATGTGTTTCTGGATGCGGTCGTTTCCTTCTTCATCTGATGGCCACGATCGCAGTCTCACATGTCTGGGTCGAGAACATGCTGGGAAGGATACTACAAGGGCATGACCATGTTGACACTGCGGTCGCGACTCTCTTTCCTTGTGAAGGCTAGAGTCTCCTCTGATGTTACCCAGCTTGCTGCCTCTGCTCAAAGCAGAGGCACGAGTATGGTTAACATTCTGGGAGACCTGAGGGTTACAGTGGGAGCGTTTTACCCATGCCAGTCCCCACGGAACTCCCGTTTCTCTGCAGTGTTGTGTGCCATTGAGCTGGCGAGTGATGGCGTGAGTCCTTCTCACAGGGGACCCAGCGTGTCATTCGGCGGTCCAGGTGAGAATCAGATGTCGATAGCTGGATCGGAGTATGGGATAATTGTCCTCTGCAGAGGAAGATAAGGCTGAGCTTCCCCCTTTGGCCGTGGTCGCTCATGCCGAGTCGGATGCAGAGTTGATGGTCATGCTTGCCCGGGCCCCGCGAGCATTGGACACAATTGGAACCCTCCACCTTGTCCTGAGCGCTCGAGGTTGGATGATTGGCTCAGCCATCTGGGGCTTCGAGTCAACTGGGAAAAGAGCAAGCTCTCCCTCGAGCAGAGCATCTCTTTTCTCGGTATGGAGTTGGACTCGGTCTCACAAACGAGCACACACTATCAGTGCTGAACTGCCTGAATACGTTCAGGGGGAAAACAGCGGTTCAATTTAAATAATTTCAGAGGCTCCTGGGGAATATATGGCATCTGCAGCCGCAGCCACGACGATTGGATTGATGCATATGAGAGCACTACAGCACTGGCTACACAGCCAAGTCCCAAGATGGGCATGGCACTGCTGCACACTCCACGTGAACATCACACCGATCTGTTCCCAAACTTTCAGCCCTTGGTCTGACCTTGATTTTCTGTATTCCAGAGTGCCCTTAGAAAAAGTGTCCAGGCACGTTGTTGTTACAACAGATGCCTCCAGAATGGGTAGGGGCGCTGTATGCAACAGGCACACAGCATCGGGCTCCTGGACGAGACCTTGACTGCAGTGGCACAATAACTGCCTAGAGCTGTTCGCAGTGCTGCTCACCCTGTTCCAATTTCGGCCAAGGCATTGTATGCTTACGTTGCATGTCACAACTCCCCCGCCATCTCCTCCTCTGGAGTAAGCAGTGGCTTAGGTCACTCTGCACCATTTACATTCTAAGCGAGCTCAATCGTGCGGCCAATGAGCTCTCATGACAGCTCACATTCCCGGGAAAATGGAGACTCCATCCCCAGGAGGTCCAACTGATCTGGAGTCAATTCAGGGATGCACAGGTAGACCTGTTTGCCTTCCAGGACTCCTCCCACTGCCAGCACTTTTACTCCCTGACCAAGGCCCCCCTCAGCATGGACATATTGGCACACAGCTGGCCCAGGGTCCTACACAAATACGCGTTTCCCCCAGAGAGCAATCTTGCACAGACACTGTGCAAGGTCAGGGAGGACGAGCAGCAGATATTTATGGTTGCGTCTTATTGGCCCACCTGGTTCCTGGTCTCTAGACCTGAGGCATCCTGGCCTAGGCAAGACCTACTGCAGAGATCTTTCCATATGTAGCACTGCCCCACGGGTCAGTCAATATGTGTTTTTCCACATGCTCCTCCCTACAGGTAGGATGTGGCCTCCCAGCGTTAACACAATGGTAATGGATGAAAAAAGGGGGAATAAAGAACCGAAGCACTCTTCCCGTGAAACAAACACACAAGGACAGCAGCTACGACTGTCTCCATGGTAAGCCCCGTTGGCATGGATGGCTATCACTTGGGCTTACATGGGGAGCTGGGTAGGTTATGACTTTATGGGAGCAGTTTCCAAAAGTGCACGCTACGACTTGCCAACATCTGTGCTTCCAACACTCGTAACATAGTTCAGTGGTTATGTTTCTCATTTGTCAGGCAACATAATGTTGTAGTGACTGACAGATGAGGTACGTCTTGGTTACTGATGTGACCCTCGTTCAATGGTGGAGGAATCTGGGATGTTATGTCCCCCCTGCCACAACCCTGAACCACCCACTGAATGTGAACACAGCGGCTCCACAGCATAAACCTGGATGTATGCCGCCATCTTATATACCTGTATGTACGGAGGCTGTGGCTCGGCATGCAAATTCCACATGCCAATAGCAGAGGTAATTGGGGCTTCCAAGTGAGACCCCATTTGTCAGTCAACATAATGTCTCCGTTCCCTCCATCAGGGAACGAGGGTTACGTCAGTAACCAAGAGGTTTTCAGGGATAGTTGTGCTTGGAGTTAATTGTTTTATTTGTGATAATGAAATGAAACATGCCAAATTGTGCAGAAATATTTTTTGGCCAGGCTGTCATACAAAGAAATTATGAACACATACAAATAGATTTATGCAAATAAATTAATATGTTTAGTCCAGCATTTTTTTGCATAGTAAAATAAAACCTGTAGGTGTAGATTTACTTTTTTGCCAAATAATTTTGTCAGATAAATATCTTAACCAGGTTAAGTGATTTGATCTTCCCTCATATTTAAAATATTTATACTTTGATGGTTTAATCAAACTTTTAGGGTCATTTAAAACAAATATCACTTTCTATTGTTATCTCCATATCTCCAAACCTGACCAGATCAGCCAAGACAGATGTTATTACCAGGTGTAAACATAGATTAAGAAAAAGTGAATACAATGACATATAATAATATATATTACAAAATAAAAGTAAATACCTATATAATCATTGGATTTGCCAATGTCGTAGTCCCATACTGAGATATCAAGAGTCTTTTTAGCCAGCTCTGCATGCTTAATTTCATAGCTGAATTCCTGCAAAAGAACAGTTCACATTGCAAACAAGAGGAATCGTAGAAACATGGTAAAAATATCAAAGCATTGGGAAAATAGCAAGCACAAAGAAGAACTCTCAGAATTGCAACAGAACACTAACAAGGCTTCACATTGTTACAATGTTGGACCAGATTATTTAAACACAACTACTGGAAAGAGATTACAAATGTCCAGTGGTGGAATGTAACGAAGTACAAATACTTCGTTACTTTACTTAAGTACATTTTTCACGTATCTGTACTTTACTTAAGTAGAATAAATAGTGCATACTTTTTACTTTTACTTCGTTACATTTCGCAGCAATTATTATACTTTCTACTCCACTACATTTCTACAAAGTTCTGTTACATTTTCGTTAAATTTTCTGATCAGTTTTTCCCCTGCCAAAACGTAATCCTGACCGTCCGTTCATTGCACGTTTCTGTCCCAGTGAAGTTTGGTTGCCATATACATATATCAACCCGGTCACACTAAATGCGTCTCTATAGCACGCAGTGTGTTTATCGTGCAATTTATACGCGAAAATTAGTTTTTACATGCATAGGAAACGCATTGGTAGGTTTAGTAGTCATGTGGGGTGCGTGTGTATTATACGTTTGGTTAGGATTAGTATGTATGCCAAGCCAAGAGGTTCAGAATTACGCCATAAATGAATCGCGTTTACAGCAAACGCCGTCATATACGGCGTTTTAACATAATATGTGTTTATATATATATATATATATATATATATACCGTATATAGTAAGGGTATATAGTAAGCTTGATGTGTAGGCTATATTGCCTAATTGCATGCTTGTCCAGAAATGGTGACAAAAGTATTAGGTTGAATGAGTTAGAATTAACTGTTTTATTAATCATTAGAATATAGACATTAAGAGAATAAATTGTTATGCAAGTACTTTTACTTTTAATACTTAAAGTACATTTAAAATCAGGTACTTTTTACTTTTTACTTAAGTAGGGTTGTCATTGTGGTACTTCTACTTTTACTAAAGTAAATATGTCTCTGGTTATTTGTACTTTTACTTAAGTACTGAGATTCAGTACTTCCTCCACCACTGCAAATGTCATATGCAATATGTCAGTAGATTAAAATATTTAATCATGATTAATCGCACAATTTTTTAGACATAAATCACAGATTTCGCACATGCAGAAATGTATGCCCATTGGAATAAAATATTTAAATATTAACTTTTTTAAATGAAAGAACAATTTCAAATAGTGTCACCATGTTTAATTTGAACATGTATAATTACTAGTTCAGTCAGTAGATTAAAATATTTAATCATAATTATTTACACGATTTTTCAAAGTTAATCACAATTAATCACAGATTTTGTTATGAAGTGCAGAAATGTGTCTATATATACTTTAAAAAACATCTAGGGTTACTTGACTGTAACCCTGTTCCCTGACAAAGCGGGAAAGAGATGCTGCGCTGATTTAAGTGCAATGGGAAAACATCTTTGTTTGAACAGTTGTGAACACGTGTCAAGTCATGTCAAGTCACCTTTATTTATATAGCGCTTTGTACAATACATTTTGTATCAAAGCAGCTTCACAGTGATAACATGAAAATAATACAACAAAGTTTGTTTCTAGAAGAAAATTGCGTCAACTTCCACCTTAAGTAAGGCAGATCAATAATATTGTTGAATATTAAATGTCCCCAACTAAGCAAGCCAAAAGCCAAGGCAACAGTGGCAAGCAACCAAAACTACATCAGGAGACAGAATGGAGAAAAAAACCTTGGGAGAAACCAGACTCAGTCGGAGGGCCAGTTCTCTGGCAAACGAAGGAACAGTGTATGATTACAAGTCAAATTGGATCGGAACATTTAGAGTATTTATCCATTTCCATCTGGTTGGAAGTCGAAGTAATCATGCCGGTACGTGTGGCAAACACACCAAGAATTTGCCTTAAATAACCTTTGATGATGATGTATATCAGAATGCACACATCAGAGGTGATAAATAGATGTGAAATAGGTCCGCTTTCAGGTCACTTTGTCTGAAGAACGTCCTGAACACACCCTCAGTGTGGCAGTGCAGCACAGCATCTTGTTTCCACTTTTTCAGGGAGCAGGGTTAAGTAACCCGAGAAATTCCCTTTCAAAAGTTACTCTAAATACTGCACTGATTAAGCGTTATAGGAACAAGAATACCAAACAAGAATACCAATCCCTCAAGGTGGTGTAGTGTGTGCACACAAACCAGAGAAAGGCCTCAGACTTGAGTTTGGGATGTCGACTCAAGGATGTGTGAGCCCGGAGTAACAAGAATCTATAAACTATAGAATCGAATAAATGTGTGCGGAGAGGACCAGCCTGGCGTATCACATAATTGCTGCAAGGGGGTGCCTCTTGCTAAAGCCCTGGAGGATGCAACCTCCCAGGTAGAACGAGCCCTAACGCCCAGAGGCAAAGCTTGACCTTGCGCCTCATAGGCTAGGATGATGGCATCCCTCACCCAATGTACCCCCTGGTTACACACCCCCTTGGTCCTGGGCGCAAAAGCCTCAAGACTACTACTTCTTAGCTGAGATCAGCAATGTCAGGTCCATCTTGGTGCGCCGGTCCCCAATATTTCCGAGGGGGAGCACGACTTGCCACGCTCTGTTTCTGAGCTTCTCTCTTTTGAGAAGCTGGACTCGGTTGGGGCTTGGTGGCGACAATCCTGACCATTGAGCACGGCGGGGGAGGAACTTAACAAACGCCTAATGTCTTTTTGCCTCCTGGAACCTACTGACAACGGCGTTGCCGAATAGGCAACTCCTTATCCTAATTTCCTTCTTCTCCTTGATGCCAGTGAGGTTGATCCACAGATGTCTTTCTGTGGTGACCATAGCACCCATGGAACGGCCGATGGTACGTGTCATTTGCTTGGTTGTGCACAGAGACAGTGTCGATAGGTGCAGCTCAGCGAACACATCCTCACTAACGTTTCCCCTGCTCGTGCTCAGTTCAGGACAGCCTGGTACGCCTGCAACACCGCAATGGTGTCCAGGGCAGCACCTGCCTGACCTGCCACCTGGAAAGCTTTCCCCACCAACGTGGTTGTAACTCTGCATGGTCTGGAGGGAAGTGCAGGCTTTTTAAGTGATAATGTACTGCCAGGGGAGAGATATCCCATGAGCGTCTCTTCAAACTGCGGCATCATCGTATAACCCGTGCCTTCACACCGAATCGAATAAACTGATGTCGGGGGCACAAAGACACAGGAAGAATAGGGTTTACTCCATGACTTTGATAGTTCGTCATGGAGATCTTGAAGGGGAGGGGCCGTCTCTCTGGTGCCTCCCCTCGGCCACCCGACAGAAATCTGTTGTCTAACTTCGATTGTCTGGGTGTTCCTGTGGCCAATCTAACTGAAGACTGTCCACAACGCAAGTGACTAGCTCGAGTAGCTCATCATATGATCTGTCATCATGAGAGGAGCGCTCAGAGGCAGTGCACTTCGGAATCCATTTTCCCAAGAGAACTAACGTCCTCAGCCCGGTCTGAAGAAGCGCCGGAGTGCGCTCCAGAAGCAGGCTCGAGGACCTCACGATCTGGTCTCCTGTTTTTCAGCCAGATCGGCATGCGAGCCCCATGATCTTCTCATCAAGGCATCTCCCTAAAGAAGGCAAGTCTGGAACAGAGCACTTTGATGGAAAATGACTCGCAATGCTGACACTCTGATATAGTGTGCTTCTCCCCTAGACAATCAAAGAGTCATGTGGATCATCCTCCGAGATAGGCCCACGCATGGGCCCACGCATCTCTTTGTGGATTCTCGCAACACGATTCTCTTTTTTTTCAACTCTTTTTCTCTCCGTTGCAGAGAAAGAGAACGAAAGTGAGAGAGACTTTATTCCTGCCTGACAAAACTAACTTCAAGAAAAAGGGACAGTTTCAGAAGTAGCAGCACACACGGCACACAATGCGGTTCTAAAGACAAAGGAACCTGAAAGCCCACCTGTCTCCCGTCTATTTGTAGCCTCTGACGTGCGCATTCCGATGATGTCATTATCAGAGGTTATTTAAGCCAAATTCTTGGCATGTTACCCATATGTGTTTACAACCAGTCAAACAAAGATGTTTTCCCATAGCGCTTAAATCAGCACAGCATTGAGAGTAGCTTTTGAAAGGGAACAAAACAATATGTAATTAACATTTTGCACACATAGCCTTTCATTTAAAGATAGAAAAGCATTAAAGGGGTCATATAATGGTACATGCACTTTTACAAGTTGATTGTACTGAAATGTGTGTTGGCAGTGTCTGTACACAACCATCATATAATGATAAAAATCAATCCAGTGGTTTTGTTTTAATCTCCTTATATGTTTTCCCCTGCCTCAAATCGAGCCGTAACAGCACGCCCCTCCCGCGATTGTTGAATGACAGCACCGTTTCAACACAGACCCGCCCTCGCTCATGAGGGAGCTGTCAATCATAGTCTGCGCGGCGCGGACCGGCGCGGTCATTGTTGATATGCTGGAGCACTGTCTATGAGCAGAATGGCGTCTAAGCGATTGTGGTGTTCTGTTCTTGGGTGTAATAACGAACACAGCAGTCATTTTAATGTTCCTAAAACCGCTGAAGACGCAGTGGCTGAGTTTGTTTTCGAAGGGAATATTCCCCACGAGCAACGTCAATGCTCTAATGTTTGCGCGAATCATTTCACACACCAGACTGCTTTATAAACGAGGATCAGTATAAAGCTGGATTTGCTAAGAAGCTGCTCATGAAAAAAGCATCGGTACCAGATATTCGTGTTCCCGCTGAATCTCCAGAAGAACGGAAGTGAGTGTAACGTTTTATTAAACTTTATATTAATATATTAATCTTTGCAAATCGCCAGCTGCACGCTTCACAATGAATGCGTCTAAGGTTTACACTCAGGGTACATTACGGCATGTTTTCTATGTATGACGTTCTCAATATAATTCATAATCCCACGTTTATACTGAACAACGCGTTATGGTTATTGTGTTATTGAGTTACGGTGTAGCACAGAACAGAGGGGCGGGGTGAGCAAAGCTCATTATCATTTAAAGTCATATGCACTGAAACGGCGTGCTGAACACAGAGCTGTTTTTGACCAGGTAAAATAACTGTTTTCCTACAATACTAATGAGACCCTTAATTTAGACCCTAAAGAATCATATTAGCTTGTACAAAAATGGCATTATATGACCCCTTTAATATAGCCAAAATTAGAAAAATAATAAATAAATAATAAATTATTGACATAAAATATTTACTTTAAGTATGCCTGTGTTACAGGAGATCTATATTTTCACTAGGTTAGCTCAGTTTCTAGTGTTTTCAGTTGGTTACTCATTGTTTTTACATTCATTTTGCTGATTGGTTTGTTCTGTGTATTTAAGACTTGGGATTATTTGTGTTATTTCTCAGTTCTCATTGTGAAATTTCAGTCGTTGTTCTTCTCCTGTTTTTGAGTATTTTGAGTTTTGTTTAATAAATATATTTACACTGCTGCAAACAGATCCTTTCCCTTACATTTGTGCAACCGTTTGTGACACCCTGAGATTTTATGTTAATATTTAAATAATGAAGTTAATATTTCTCCTGCCTTTATTTAATGAACGAGCAATGTTACAATGTTAAACATGATAATATATAATTACTAGTGCTGTCAGTAGCTCGATTAAAATATTTAATCAATCGGTTAATCGCAATAGATAAATTTTTGATAATTTTTTATGTTTTTCCTGTCACATTGCATTTAGTTCATTCTGAAGGAAAGAAAACAAAATAATATAATTAGCATTTTCCAAACAAAGCCTTCCACATAAAGATAGAAAAGTATTAAAAAAGTCCAGACACTTCCCAATTTTAAAGAACTTCTTTAACATAAAATATTTAATTTAACATCCCTGATTTTAAGTTAATATTTCAATAATTAAACAAAAAAATGTAATGTTCACAGTTCACTGATGTCGGTTAATGTTTTATTTTGTTTTTTGATTGTTTTTATTTTTAAAATTGTTGCATTTATTGAACATGTGGGATTTTAACAAGAACGGCAGAGATTTAATCAAAACAACAAATGCATTTAAATACCCAAATAAGCCACAGATGAATTATCACAATTAGAAAATCTTGGCATATGTCCTAATCTCAGATGTATTAAGCGAGGTACAGTGAACAGGCTCCTGCTCCTGAACTTAAATAATTAGTAGTTGGGTATGAATAACCTGGTCAAACTTTTGTATTTGTGTCTGCATATCTCTGGATCACTGTACTCTGATAGACACCTAGAAATAAACAACTATTATATTAATTAATAAAGAAATATGTGCATAAATGCATTACAAGTGGACAACATACCTCATTAAACTCTGGGTTGAGTGTCTTCTTCTTGGTCTGCGTCTTGTTCTTTGCTTTCTTCCCCATGTCAGGTTTCAGACATCTATTCATAGAAATATTCACAGAATTCAAAGAATTTGGTTTCATTTTTAGAACAGATTTAATATGAATGGTATATTTTAATGTTGTTTAATGCCTTAACTTATATAAGTGTTTCCTAAGCATATAATAAATACTGTATCATATAAAAACATTGAGCAGAGAGAGACTTACATTTTGACAAAGGGATCAGAGTAGCCATTTGCATCCATTGCTGCTAAGTGAACACAGCGTACAACACCTATAATGAGACGACTCAGCTGGGTGTTGTACATTAGGGAAATCAGGATACGTCCTCTCTCTTCCATCTCAGTGCCATCCTTCCCAGTCTACACAGGTACAAAAATAGTAGTGTGGATGATAATGATAGCACAGGAGTGTTCATTGCAAATGTAGTTATTGTAGAAACACCTCATCCTACAAATAGCATGGATGTTAATTCATTCTGCTACTGCTGGCATTTGCACAGGATGCACATAATAATGGAATCAGTAAATGAAAATCAGTGTAAAAAGACTACGAATGGGCTTCTGTGTCATCTGGTCATATCTGCAAACATCTGTTAATGATACCCTTGACAAAAAGAACTGCACTTAATTGTAGTGAATGCATACTTGTAGTGTAAATTTCAAAAGCATGTTTTTAAAAAGCTTTACTTGCATGATATAATATTAATGAATTAAAAGGCCACTTCTAAGAGTACATTTACCAACGTCAAATTAAAAGTTTTCCTGTAAAGGTCATTTAAAATAATTTTTTAATAATATTTTGTCATGCTCTAAAGTGCACTTATTTTTATTTGTTGACTAACATACTAAAGCACATGTCAAGTACTTGATTATAATTTTAACTCTAGAATGCTATTTGATATTACATTTAAAGTTAATATATTTTAAATATACTAAATATAAAATTCATAATTACAAATATATGACATACAAGTTTCAATAGAAATGATATTAAGTTGTATTTTAGTTTACCATAAATGGTTGTCAGTATAATCAGCAGTTCACTTTAACTATATTTCAAAGATAATACTGCTAATTATGTAATTACATAAAGATGTACTTAAGTCCTACTTAATTTAATCAAAAAAGCACTCTAAATTTCAGCGAATTGCATTTAATATAATTTTAAACTATAATATATTTTCATTTATAATTGCAACTAACTTGCAATTGAGTGTCCAAAAACATTATATTCAGTTTGCACTCAAGTATATTGTTTTAAAGTATATTATTTGTGTGATAAGTTCCTCTTTTAAAAGTATGCTAAAGTGTAGCCTGTATAATAATAGTATAACTGCAAGCTGAATGTGACCTTAATCTTAAAGTAAATACATTGTTAGGTGTTTTCAATTATGTAATATACCTCTATACATATGAGTATAAATATTTACCTCATCCTCATAGAGGGTGATTCCTCGTGCACCACCTGCAGTTGATGTTCTTTTTGTCTATGCAAAAAAAAAAAAACATTACATATTTAAAAGTAATATATTCAGCTAATTCATCAATGGTTGTCATTAATAAGCATGTTTGTTACGGGTATATGAGTATGAAGCACTCACTTGGACAACCCTCTCTAGACACACATTAAAGTTTTTCTTCTGATTGAACTTGAGTTTTTTCAGTGCAACTCTGGTTTCTCCGATAAACTCATTGTGGCCAAACTTGTCTTCATCACAGACAGATATTCTGCATAGACATAAGTAAAAACCCTTTAATAGTTAAACGTATCCATGATTACTGAATGTCCAATACATTAAAAAAAATATCACTTTCAAAACACAAGAACAAAATACTTTTGTGGTCTATGATTCGCTAATTAACTGGTGTTGTTGTTGTTGTTAACTAAAACTAAAACTTCTATTAAAAAATTGTTTTTAGCAATTTAAATAAAGTTGAAATAAAATAAAATATAAACAAAAAATTTGTAATATTACAGTGGCAACTGGTGAAGAACCAAAATTACTAAAATGAAAACTGAAATCAAAATGAATTAAAGCTAGAGTAAAAAAAACTTTTACCATGTCAAATTAATTTACTATATGACCAAGTGATGTGCATTGCATTTAAGTTTCACATTTTATCAGTTCTTACTTTCCCTGGGAATCAAACCCATGACCTTGGTGTTGCTAGCGCTATGCTCTACTATTTGAGCTAAATCTTCCCACATCTTCCACACAGTTAGAAAATGTCAATTTATTTTGAATGTGGCCAACATGGCAGAATTATGGCAACTGTACAAGAGCACTGTGTGTGACTTAAACCTGAGGGTCTTGCGCTGCATATCGTCATCTGTCAGCCCGTGGTACACCAGCGTCTCATTCCAGTTAGGGTTGCGAGTGTTGCGTAGGGTCTTGGTACGTAATTTAGTTGACTGCATTGACAACAAAGATGCTCTGTTTAACCATCATTGCTTGACCAGTATTAAGTATAACTTGCATATTTGAGTCCTTTCTCATGAAGCTAGTGGTTCTGAGTTGACAAAACCGAACGGGATCAGTTATCTCAAAACGCCACTGTACATGCAATAAAGTTACTCTGTAGTGTGCACATGAATGTAGTTAACAGCGAAAAGTCAATCATGTGAAACATGAAGAGTCCTTTCTCTGCTGAAGATCAAGAGATTTATGCTAGTATCAATGGAAGTGAGTTTATTTTATAATTCGTATACAGTACATCCACAACGAGCTTAAGAGAAAACATAAACTCAGTAATTTGAAATGCTTAAAAAACACTTTGTAGATTAATTATATAGCCATGGCCAAAAGTATTGGCAGTGACAAAAATGTTTCGCAATGTTTGCAGCTTCAGAATTTGTAGATTATTATTTGGTATACTTGAAAACAATAATAAGCATTTCATAAGTTTTAATGGTTTTTTTGTTAAAAACATTCAATATTTGCAAAGAGTCAATGGAGTGTTGACCCTCCTTCTACATAACCTCTTCAATTCGCTCTGGCATGCTGGATATCAGCTTCTGGGCCAAATCCTGACTGATGCCGATCCATTCTTGCCTTAGTGCTCAGGGTTGATCCCAATTTGTGGACTTCTGCTTGTCCACATGCCTTTTGAGGATTGGCAACGGGTTCTCTATGAGATTAAGATTGGGGGAATTGCCTGGCCACAGATCCAAGATGTCAATGTCATTATCACACTTTCCTTGCTCCATCATGTTGGAAAATGCACACTGTAAAAAAACTTAACTCATTATTTTGTGTTATCTTTTTGCATGGTTTTTTTTTTTAGTTTAACTAACGTATTTCGATAAGTTGAGGACAAGAAAACTTAAAATTTCTTGTTGTCTGGACAATCTAGTTATCTCTACACAAAAAAATAAGTTGAAATAACTAAATTGCTAAAATATTTTTTACAGTGGGGATCATCACCAAATTGCTCCTGGATCAATGGGAGAAGTTGCAGTTGTGCTCAAGAGTTGTGAGAGCCCACTCCCTTGGATAAAAAGCAACCCCACACATGGATGGTCTCAGGATGCTTCACTGTTGGCATGACACGTAGCGTTCACCTTTTCTTCTCTGGACAATTGATTTTGAAGATGTACCAAACAGTTAGAAGGTAGCTTCATCAGAGAAAAGAACATTGCACCAGTCTTCTGTTGTCCAATCCTTGTACTCCCTGCAGGATTTTAGTCCATCCTTGATGTTTTTCCTGGAGAAAAGTGGATTCTTTGCTGCCCTTCTTGAAACCTGGCCATTGTCCAAAAGTCTTAGCCTCACTGTGCATGCAGAAGCACTCGAAACCATCTGCTGCCAATACTGAGCAAGCTCTGCGCTGCTAGTGACAATTCTGAAGCTGAGAATAGGTAAATAGGTAAAGTCTGCACATAATAGGAAAAGTCTGCACATAAGGCATACTCGAACTTAAACTTAAAATGTTGTAGTTTTTATTTTCATTTGTCTGACCCTGTATTTATATTAATCTATGTTGATGTTGTTGTCTTTGTTGTCTTGTACTGTATGTTGATTTCCTTGCTACTGCAGCAATACTAATCGCCCCTCGGGGACAAATAAAGGTGGACTGAATTTAATTTAATTAAATTGAATCCTAAGGAGGGGACAGTCCTGGTCCTTGCTGGACACTCTGGGACATCCTGAAGCCTTCTTCACTGCAGTTGAAATTCTCTCATTGGAGTTCTTAAAGGATTAGTTCACTTTTAAAAAAAACTTTTTTAATTTAGTCACCCCCATGTCATCCAAGATGTAATTAAGGTTTTTGATGAAAACATTCCAGGATTTGTCTTCATATAATGGACTTCAATGGGCCCCAAACGGTTCAAGGTCCAAATGACAGTTTCAGTGCAGCTTCAAAGGGCTTTAAACAATACCAGACGATGAATAAGGGTCTTATCTAGCGAAACGATCGGTCGTTTAAAAAATAAATAAAAAAGTTTAAGTTTTATAAGCACAAATGCTCACCTTGCTCTGTTCTGTGATGCACGTTCGTGACGTCACGTAATACGCAATTACGTTGAAAAGGTCTCACAGAACAGAGTCATCGCTAGATATGACCCTTATTCGTCGTCTGGTATCGTTTAAAGCCCCTTGAAGCTGCACTGAAACTGTCATTTGGACCTTGACCCGTTTGGGCCCATTGAAGTCCACTATATGGAGAAAAATCCTGGAATGTTTTCATCAAAAACCTTAATTTCTTTTCGACTGAAGAAAGAAAGACATGGACATCTTGGATGACATGGGGGTGAGTAAATTATCAGCAAAAGTTTTTTTTAAAAGTGAACTAATCTTTTAATGATCCGGTAAATGGTTCTTTTACAGGTGCAATATTCTTTGCAGCAATTTCCTTGCATGTGAGGCCATTTTGATGAAAAGCGATGATGGCTGACTGTCTTTCTTAGGAGGTAACCACCATTGCTAACAGAAGAACATAACTGCAATCACTTCATTCTTCCTTTTATAGCAATCAGTCTGCTCTTATAATTCAATCAGAATTATCGAGTGATTTCAGCTAACTAGCACTTGTTCACACTTTCCTATATGCTGATGATATGATTAGTAAAATTATGTTAGCTGGTCATTTTGTGCCAGGGCCAAAAAACAATGGCCAATGAAGCTTTTTGCAATTATTTCAAATGAATCTCATCACTCTGCACCATAATCTAGAAACAATGTGAATCAACACCACAACAACTGAAGCCGCAAACTTTGCAAAACAAAATTGATATCACTGCCAATAATTTTATAGCCAATAACAGCTATAAAGCCTATTTAGGTTACACTTTATTTCAATAGTCCACTTATGACATTGTCACAGAACAGAAGATGTATAAATGCAAACACAGGTAAAATATGAACAGTTTTTATTGAATGACACAAAGGAATTTAGCAGGTGAGTGTCTGGATTTCAGATCATGATGGTGATACTGGTATATGAATGGTACGTCTTAACTTTTGCCTGGCAGTGAAGAGAATTGGCTGGAGGACTGAAGACTAGTGGTGTCAATTCCAAAACACTGCTTCAAGAAGCTTCGAAGCCTTTACAAATCGTTTGTTCTGAATCAATGGTTCGGAGTGTGTATCAAACTGCCAGAGTCACGTGATTTCAGTAAACCATAACGTCATAACTGTTTTGAAACGTTTCGGAACACTTCGGAATATCAATGGTTCACCGCTGGGGGCGGTGATCTCTGTCAACCCATGAATCACGAGGATTCACTGAGAACCATTGAACAAGTGTCTGTGGGTTTTACCTGATCTCTGATCAGTTTTATACATTTGTAGACTACTTAATTAGACATTAGTATAATTAAAATGAATAATGGTAGTTAATAGTCGTGTTGGCCTGTTTAGCTGAGCCATTCATAGAACTAACAAAACAAACCCTGACAATTGATAAAAGAACATATATACACTTGATAATCTTATTAGATGATTAGATAATTGTATTTGAAATATTTTACTTTCAATAAAACATTTGTAATAGATTTGTAAAAGGGGTTTTTATGCATGTTTGGCCTGGGTTTTTGTTGCATTTACACTGTTCTGACCACTAGGGTTCACCATGGAGACAGGTGTCGGATTGTTTCGAAGCCTCGACAAAATACGGCACATTTGCTTCAACTGTTTCAGTGTTTCACGAAGCCTCGATCTGCCCACCACTACTGAAGACTGGCAGACGATGACACGCGGAAGACAAATTATGGGACAGTTCGATGCACAGGTAGGTATACAGATAAAAGTTCAGTGTTGAACTACAAGACCAAACACTGATGAGTGTGTGACGCAGGCTTGGAGTGGAGCTGATGAGGGTGAATGGTGGCAGGTGTAGATGATGTGAAGTGTGTGCAGGTCAGGTGTGAGCCAGAAGGGGAAATGCAGTGTGAAATGACTGGTCTGGTGACGTAGATTGTGACAATTATACTAACTATAGGAACTTTGCAACCACACGTCAACTAACTGATTCATTTGCACCTGCATGTCAAATAACTCTCATTAGAGTATTAGTAGACTGTTAGATTAGGGTTAGGGTTAGTAGAAGTTAACATGTACAGTACTTTTAAAGTTACTTATAGTGAGTAGAATGTCTGTTGAGCATCAAAATAAATCTTTAAATCTTTATGTTACACAGACAGTCTACTAATACTCTAATGACTGGTATTGACATGTGGTTGCAAAGATACTTATAGTTAATAGAATGTTCAAAGTGGACTTGGAATAATGTGTTACCCTTATTTTTATTAATCTCTATATTTATAATAATTTAAATATTAAGTTTAATATTATTGTTAAAATATAATTGCTCATGGTTAAGCCATTATAGGTTTGTAGACTAGCATGTTGTTCTCAACATTTAACTTGAAAAATGAACACAATAATAGACCAGCAATAATAATACAAATTTACCAAAGAAACGACTGGTCAAACTACAATCAAACTTAACCAGGTAGCTTCTTAAACCTGCTTGGTGAGACTGGGCTCTATAGTATAAGAATGTTTTAAATATAATTTGAATAATGAATACCAGACAAATTCTATAACTTTAGTAATATAAGTACTCTTCTATTACTTTAATAAACAATACAGACATGGTTCAAAATTATTAATATTTGATAATACCAATTGCAAAGGTAAAGTGCACATTAAAAAGCCCTCTATCTCACCTTACTTGCACCTGGCAGTAGATGAAGCTTAATATATGGATCTGCCAGTCCATTTGAATCCATTGGCTTTAAACCCTACAAAAAAAATATTAAAACTGCTTAAAAACAAATAAAAAATCAAGCACAGTGCAATATTACTGATATAACATTTCAAATTCTGACCATGATTGTCATTCTGGTCTATGAAGTAGACTCATAAATAAGAAGCAAACAGTGAAAAGCCCCAGTACAAGACTATATATCAGCACAATACTGCTCAGGCAATTCGATTCAAGGTCCGGAATTAATGCTGCATGATGATAACTACATAATCACAATAATATTACATTATCAACATAATTAACCCACATGAATTTTATAGTTATTTTTGTTTGTGTGCAATAATTTGACTTTTAATTTTAATATGTGAAAATATTGAAGATACCTTTGCTTTAATAATGTTGCAATGGAGGCTGCTGTTCCCTTGGTCATATAGTAAAGTGAACTCCAGTGCTCCCAGAGTTGCTGAAACAAACAAAATATATTGCATTAGGCCCAAGCATTTCATTAGGTTTGAATGCATGAGGAAAAGCTCACAGGTCTACATTTTAGTGTATGTGTTGCCTTTTTCTTGTTGCATTTCATTTGAAACATGCACACACACACACACATACATGCATTTGTTTCACCATATTAGTAAGGACATTGCATAGACCTCCATTGATTTGATATCAGGTTAATGATATGAGGTTATCTCCAAATCCAACCCCTACTCCTAAACATATACCCATCACAGAAACACGTGCAAAACACTAGATTTAAATAAAACATGTTTTGGCTGATTTATGAGCATTTTTAACTAGTGAGGAATCGGATCAGTAACATGTCCTCACTAGTCGGTTGTGTGAGGACATTTGGCCTTTCACAAGTATAGCCAAACCTGTACACACACACACACGTCTGGTTTGCTATCTTTGTGGGGACCCTCCATAGACGTAATGGTTTTTATACTGTACAAACTGTATATTCTCTCCCCTTACACTAACCCTACCCCTAAACCTACCCATCACACAAAACCTTCTGCACTTTTACATTTTCAAAAAGTCTCATTCTGTATGATTCATAAGCTTGTTTCCTTATGGGGACCTCATATTAGGTACCCATGGTGACACGAGTCCCTGTGAGTCTGTGTGTATTCAGGTTGAACACACACACACACGCACATAATTAAATATTTAAAGTTTAATGCAACAGCGACATCTAATGGTGTAAAAATCATTTCAAGCACATAAAAGTGCTGCAACATTTTCTCAATTGACTTCCACTGAATTTCATGCCAACAACACAACTTAAAATTAAAGTTAGACACAGATCGACACATTCTGCATTAGTTATAAACTCTGCTTAATTATTTTTGGTGCTACACACACTTAGTGATTAATGTGAGGATATAATAAATCCAACAGGTGATTCTTATTAACTTCCTATGACAAAATCCCACAAATGCCTCTTTCCACCAAAAATGAGAAAATAGACAGCAACAGTCTCACAATGATTTGATGTGTCATCATTTTTAAAATATGTTTCTTCCAGACAGAGACAAGGAAGAACAAGAAGTCGGTGAAAATCTGCTTACTTGCTTCATCTGAGTCATAGCTGTTGGCCTCTTCCTCGTCGTCCATTGATGGAGCCGCCTGATGCTGGCCGGGTCGAGGGGTGACAGCAGACTTTTGCTCCTCCCTCTCTGCAGGATGAGCTCTTTCCTGAACATTAGATGCATTGCTAATGGTTTGGTAGGCTCCTCTCTCTGCCTCCTGAGCAACTGGTAGGGATACAATTCTCTTTAGATTCTTTCAAGCATATTAATACTCCTTGAGTAGGTGTTTAAAGACTATTTGTTGTTTAACATGTTGCTGCCCTTGTGAAAAAGAAGTGTGTTTAACTGTATTGAATGTGCATTGTATTGAACTTCAAATCCCAAAAGTATATTTTTTTGTAATGAAAATGTAATGAAATAAAAGGCCATTTAATTAACTTAAAGAGAGAACACTTTCATGACTGTATCTTAACACACTTAAGTATGTCCTTGATTATGATTGTTTGAGCTGCACTCGAAGGCGTTGTAAATGTCTCTACAAGCATACACATGTGACCGACCGCATTACATCAGTATTACTGCGCCACTGCATCTGTCTGTTGCAGCGTCTGTGTGTTGCTTGGCAACCATTCCACATCAGAAGAACTACATTGCTTGGCGGAAGAAGAATATTTTTTATCAATAGCATTACATTTTTGTGTATGTGTTTATTTTATGAAACCTTTCCAGGTATGTGGAATAACCATTTTATAACAGCAATAAGCAGAGTGAAGCCATGATTTACAGTGAATTTAGAACAGCTAAGGGGGTTTAAAGCAGCACTAAGTAGGAATTCCGTTTTTGTCAAACAGCGACCCCTAGAGTCGCTGTGGAGCACTTGTACTGTCGTGAATAGCACTCACGCAGAGATGGCTCGCACTCACGGGCGGATCCCCTCCCCCTGTACACCGGTACGTGTTCAGTAGGATGGACGCTGTAACGAGTGGAAATAAGCTATGGCCCCTTTAAGAGCTGTGCGCGCCCTGTTTAACTGTCGGCAGTCTGTATTGTATGTGCGCCTCGAACACCACATGTCAGGGCTCTCAAGTTTTGAAGACAGGTAAGAGTGACACCCAGCCGACGGGGAGGGGGGGGAGACGACGGACGGACGGACGCACACCCAGCCGAGGGGGGTGGGGGATGGGGGGGGGGATTGGATACATTTTTGTCATTGGTTGTTGCGTTAAATCTTACCCAGATACAATAGTGCTATTTTCTGATTGGATATTGTGTAGCTCGACTAACAACACTAGAGGAAACGCGCTTGTCTTGATTAATTTCGGTTCCACAGTGAGAGCGGCGCGGCCAGAGTTTTGGGCGCTGCGGCATATTAAATATATTACAAATAGTTTTTCAGCGTGAGAAATACAATGTGTGGCGGGAGAGCGTGACAAAAGACCGAAATGAGTGACTGTCACGCTCAATGCGTGACACTTGAGAGCCCTGACATGTATACGGCGCCGGGTATTTCTGTTTGATGCTCATTTTATCAGAATTTTACCAGATCTGTTTTTTGCCGTAAAGCAATTTGTTACCTCGCGAGACCTGATATCACACGATACTTCCTAACACTGAGGCCGGCAACCCGCCGGCCCAAAGTTGCAAGGGTGGTTTTGCGGCTCACAGGCACCAGGGGGGTGCGAGACGACCACCATTCAACACGAAATCAGTAATATAAACATTACAATGACTCCAAAGCTGTTCGGTTAAGCTAAAAAAGTTACTTATTTCACCTTTAAGTCAATGTTTGAAGAGTTCAGATGCAAAAGCCTCTAAACGCCACCTCCGTCAAAAATGAGATAATGACATTGAGTGAAAGCTATCTGAACACAGTACACGTTCAACAAATATATTTGCTTCAAATCCTCGAAATCTCAGCCTCAGCCCATTCAGAAATATCAGTTTGTCGGCAAAAGCCTCTAGACGCCACTTCCCTTTGGCAGCAAAAGCCACTACATCCCGAGAACCAATCAGAAGGCGCGAGCCGCGCGAATCAGTACAGGCTGTTTCAATAGAGCGGTGCGCTGAGGAGACGGATTTTTTGAGACGGCTGAGGAGATTGTTTTGTTTTTGGATTCAGATTTTTTACATTTTTAAGATGGAGTACGATGAAATGGAGGAGCCTGTCCTACTGACATCAAAAGGCAGAAGAGAACGTCGTTTATCTACCTCAAAACTCTTCCCGTTAATTTACAAGGCAAAAGAAAATCGGTAACTTTACAGTGAAAATAGCTTGGTCGCAAGTGTAGCATGCACTCATAACAGTTCTTGGTGCAGTGCTGTAACTTTGAAGGAATTTGATTTATTATACTTGAGATATACATTATAATATTACTTTACATTATTTAAGTCTTATAAGCTTCTTATACAAAATGCACAGATATTGATGTTTAAGAATGTTGCTCTGTTCTACTTGATTATACAAACTAAAACTATTAAACTATTTTAATCGCCAATTCTTTTTGCCAATGTGGTACTGTGTGAATCGGGGGGGCTTTTGTCTTTATTCAGACAGGGCAGAAAGGTGACTGCAGAGAAATGGGGTGGGATTTGCAAATAATCGCAGATCTCATTCAGCCCCCCTGTAAAGAGGTGTGTCTACTGTTTAGTTTTGAAATGAATGTGCTCTAATCTTTTTCAGTGTTTCTAGTTACATTTTTATTGATTTTTCAGCTATTTACTATGTCTTGTCCCAAAGAGGTGGATTTAGAGGTTTTTGCGAAAAAAGCACAAGTGGATTTAGCTGTTTTTGACGCAAAAGAAAATCGAATTTGTTAAAAATCACTGAATTGACTCAAGTGACATTTTTGAAAAAAAGTTATTTTATTCAATGACTAATAACCTTAACAGTACCTTTAAAATGAAACTACTGGACGTGAACATAGGAGCCTGATAAAAAATGCTCATTTAAAGAAAATAAGTCTGACGGATTTAGAGGGTTTTGCATCTGAACTCTTCGTTTGTTCTTACCTGGCTGGAATGTGCTGGATGAGTTTGGTCTGGCAGCATGGACATTCGCAGTCTTTTTCATCATCACTGGAGTATTCTGGGGGCTTGCAGCCTCTCCATCTGCTTCTGAGTAACTCTGACTTTTAAGATAAGCAGGTTTTGGAGCCACGGGTGGTTTTTGGGTGATTGATGGATCCGTTGTTGGTTCTGGAGCATAATACATCAAATACACACATTCAGCAGTATACTTGAGAAGCATTGATGCAGATAAGGCTTATTTCACACAGTAACATTTCAAAGTCAAGTCACATTTCAGGGCTCTAGTACATTGCGACTATTTCAGTCGCATTTGAGACTGAAAATTACTGTGTGCGACTGTAAAAAAATGTTTAGGTGCACCGATGCAAGTGACCTGATTGAACCTCATGAATAATACAACTGGCTGGTTTTCATGACTTCAGTCAACAGAGCAAGCGTGGAAAAAGTTCAGAGATTGTTTTTGTGTAATTATGTTTGTGAAAACGTCTGGTAGATTTTAGTGTCATATTTAAAAGTATTTATTCATATTTCATATTATGAATAGAAAGAGTTTAGCAAAGAAGGATTTTGTTGATACAGATATGTCAGTTTGTCCACCTCACCTGTGACCGGTGCTTGAGATTTCTTAGTAACTGGAGGTGTTGCAGGGGTCTGCCGAGGACTGGGATCTTTAGGTTTGGAAACGGGCATAGGTGAGGGTAAGAACTGCTTAGGGAGACCTTTGAAGAACCAGGCTCCAGATCGTTTCCATACCTTTAATGAAAAAACATGCAAGCAACATTTACAGACAGTTGTACTTTAGATTACTTCCTTATGATATTGTTATTTCCCTCACCTCTCTTTGTTCACCGCAGATCTTGCAGAGCCATACAGACCGTGGCCGAGTGTTAGTCTGCACTCCACACTTGGTGCACATGTTCTGATGGGAATAACAGGACATAGTTTTAGAAAAACAGACTAGAAGAAACATGCAGTTTATTAAAACAGTTCAAAACTGTATAACAAACAGAATAGAACTAGAAGAATAAAACTTCTGCAGAACTAACTATTCAAAATTTGATTTAATGTTTTAGAATCCTCCTGTATGTAGACAAATTGCATTAAAGTTGGCATGAAAAAGACATTTCGAAAGACTAATTCTTCCCTTTTGTTACAAAGTCCGAGTGAAACGGCTTCTCGAATAAGAAAGAATGAACGGCAGGACTTGATTTTGTACATCAAAAATGGGAATTGACTGGATAGTTGAATGGTTGTGGTTTGCTATTGGTCGATCTCATGTGAGTGACAGGTTGTCCCGCCCTCGAGTTAGTAAACACGTCATTAGAAAAGATAAGATAAGATAAGAGAAGAGAAGAGAAGAGAAGAGAAGAGAAGAGAAGAGAAGAGAAGAGAAGAGAAGAGAAGAGAAGAGAAGAGAAGAGAAGAGAAGAGAAGAGAAGAGAAATTGCAAATGGGAGGGGAAGTTATTTTAATTAAAGAGGGATGGATAATTTAAAATAAATATTGCAATATTCTATTTTAAAAATGTCAAATTTGAATTAATGGTGACTTTAAGAAAAATGTGTTGCTGTACTTGCTGTTAGTTATTTAGGATTTTGCATGTACACAAACAGTATATTCAAATGGTTTGAATATGAGGTTTCATTTAAATGATTATTATTTTGATTAGTTTCTCACCTTTTTACAGTCCTCACAGACCACTGATCTATCACCTCCTGAACCCAGCTGCTCGCCACATAAAAGACAGCGTGACACTCCATCCCCACAAACTGCTTTTTTCATGGTGTCCAGACGATTCACCAGACGTCTATCATAGATAACAGTATTCACATGTCAACTGCATACATACTGTATGTATTGGTCAGTTAACATATACAGTGCCCTCCATTTATGTTGTAAATACAAGAAAAATAGGCTGCATGTTTTGCTGTATCTATCATTGAGTATGTACAATAATCAAACCTTTATTTAAAGCAATATACAGTATATGTATGCCACAATTATTGGTACCACCTCCCTTTGTCTTCTCTATACTTAATAAGTAATACTTCATATACTGTAGTAATTCCTATAGAAAACATTGGAAGTCCTCCATATTTAATCTCTTTAAGTGTATTAAAGTTTAGATGTTTTGTGAATGAAAGACCAACAGAATCAACTGCCTGTTTTGATCATATCAAAGGTGCCAATATTAGTGGAAGGTGCAGCATGTAATCTCACGTCATATATAAATCTATCACACTTTAGATTTCTCTCAGGCTGTCCACACATGATAAACACTAAACTGTTCTTATTGAAAATATTCAACCGAAGGCCTTGTTGAACATTAATGTATAATTCACTATTCACAGCACTGTTTTGCTGTTCATCAATGAACTCTTTCTTACCCAATCCTCTCTTGCTCCATTGCTTCCATCTTTTCTGCCCGGACAATTACACTGTTGATGATCTCCTTCTCTTCATCAGTCAGCTCAGCGCCAAGAGGCCCAGACTTCACGTGGACACCTTTTGTGCCCATCACAGCATCTGTCATTGTGAAATCACTGGAAACTGTGACACAAAATTAAATAACAGGGATGAAAATAATTAAATAATCCAAAAGTACTGTACAAAAATAAATTGCCAACTCAGCAGTTTTAATTGGGAATTGTTTGCAATTTAAATGAGTGCAAAAAATCCATCTTGTCTTCACTTTACCCAAGCACACAGTGATAAACCTATAATAATGATTTATATTTTAAAGCTGTTGGGATGTTTTGTTTTTTTGCATAAAGTACATACGTCATTCACCATGCCGGTCACATTTATTTTCATAGTAACATCGCGAGAATCACTTATTCAGTTTAGGGCTCTCAAAAATGACACATTATAGGCTACTCATTCAATATATAATAAATATTTAAATAAGGCACATGTGTGTGTGTGTGTGTGTGTGTGTGTGTGTGTGTGTGTGTGTGTGTGTGTGTGTGTGTGTGTGTGTGTGTGTGTGTGTGTGTGTGTGTGTGTGTGTGTGTGTGTGTGTGTGTGTGTGTGTGTGTGTGTGTGTGTGTGTGTGTGTGTGTGTGTGTGTGTGTGTGTGTGTGTGTGTGTGTGTTAAAGCATGGTCATTTATTTGCATTAATGTAACCAGGAAGGTCCTGTTGAGATACTGTATCTTTTCAACCAGGGAGTCGAAAATGGCAAGCAAAAAACTACAAAGAAGTACATAAAACCACCGAATAAACAAACACACCAAAATCAGTAACACTTTAGAATACTGTGTATTATACTTACTGCATAACTAATAGGGAATTATTGAAGAACTAATAGGTCATTCTTCATTATACTTCTTCACTACTGTTAACTACTAAGTAAGATGTGTTTACTAAACTAAGATGTGTATGTAATAGAATTTTATGATTGTGTTAAGTTACAGTTAGTTAATCAATAACTAATGAATTCTGTCATACCTCCTGAAGAACTACTATTAATTATCTACTAATTAAGGTTCCAGAAAAATGACTAAGAAGTAACTGAACAGTCATACAAAACTACATTGAGTTGTGACCTTTCTTATTCACTAATGTTATTAATAGAAGTAGCAATTTTAACAAATACATATATGTTAAAGTTAAATGTTTGCCTGTGTGGTTTTGTGAGTGTGTTCCGTAAGAAATCAACTTCAGAATGGAACCATACACAAGTGCTTTCCCATAACTAACCTCAGATTAGTTTTTATATTTTATATACAGTAATGTGTGTGTCTGTTTTCCTCAGCATAGAATGTCATCGAGTAAATTCATGTATTTGAGGCAACGACTGAGGGAAACTTATTAGTAATTAATAAATAATTATTAGATAATTCTTCAGGAATTATTGAGAACCTGAAACAGTATTCTAAAGTGAAAATATAGGGAACCCATTAATAATTAATAAAGAATTACCACATACTTCTGACTCAAATCAAACTTACTGTAAAAAAAACACTATGAATGTAATGTACATTATGATAAGTTTTGCTAATGAAATAAAAAGTTATTTGCAGATCAATATATCATATAGGTAAATGTCTGCACTTATATTTCCTTTTAGGGCTGAAGAATGACTAAAAAAAATCAGTGCTTTTTACTTTTCAAGTAGCCTACTTTAAAAATTAATTACCTTTGTACTTTTACTAAGGTCATTTTGAAAATGAATAGGCCTAATTATAATTTTACTGGAGTATAATATTTTATTGTGGTATCTGTACTTTTACTCAAGTACTTGATTTGTGTACTTCAATCACCACTACACTGCTAAAATAAAACGGATTATTGTAGTAACTATGACTGTTCATTACTAGTTACCTTATTGTTATTTTTCTTGAACCATAATTAATAGTAGTTCTTCAGGAGGTATGACAGAATTAATTAGTTGTTGATTAACTAACTGATACTTAACACAATCATAAAATTCTATTACATACTGATTAGTTAACACATCTTCCTTAGTAGTTAACAGTAGTGACTTAAGTGTTAATAAAGAATTACCTATTAGTTCTTCAGTTATTCCTTATTAGTTATGCAGTAAGTAAGAAACAGTATTATAAAGTGTTACACCAAAATCGAATTACCAATGCAAAACACACAGCTAGTTAAAACATTGAAAATGTTCTTTAAAAACAGATTTTAAAATATTTTATTTACAGAAGAATTATATTTACTTTTTAATTATGTAATCTTAACTCAAACTCCTCTAATATGCAGACTCAAATTTCATCTGTGTGATGACACTGCAGGGTTTTTGAATGAACACATTTTGTCAAGAGAAGAGAATTTCAGCAGATATCGCCTGCGCAGTGAGTAGGGAGCAGTGAACACTGCGCAGGGACCCTGTGAATCGGAATGCAGCTCAGGTCTTGAAGTTTCTGCTGATAAGTTGAATCAGATGTGCTAGATGTGGGAGAATTACGAAATGTGAAGAGGTGCGGAGCCTCATTGACAATTTTAAGAAGCACTAGAGGCTTGAAACTTGGTGGGATGATGGTGCTACTGGATATTCAGGTACAAAGACTCATCCCACACGACCAATAGAGGGCACTACAACAAAGGCGAATAGGCGTTTTGGGCTGCAACTCAAATGTGTACCAAAATAATTAACAAATTTATGAGGATAGATAGCTTTTGGTCATGGCTAGCCAAATTGTTTGTTGTAGGTGTGGCCACTTTTATTTAAATGGCAATACATAAAGGTTTATATATAGTTATGTTGGTATAGGTGACATGAAATTCCAAACACCATTTCGCTAATTTTATATTATATTAATCACTGTGCTTTTAACAATCAATGTGTCCCTTTTCAAATGTTAAAAGCTGAAAGGTGGCCAGTAAAACATTAAAATAATAGATGATAGTAGGTAAGATTTAAAAAAAAAAAATTAAGATTAAAAATTAGTTTTGTAATGGATGCTAAAAATGCCATATAGTGTTTACATGTAGCCTACCTAATAAGCCCAGTCCAGACTTGTCATATTTTAAATGTAATATATATATATATATATATATATACATACTGTATATATATATATATATTGACAAAACATAAGGAGTTCAAAGAAAGTGTTATAAGGAGAAATTTATCTTTGATTCATTACCCAGTTTATCAGAGAGCTATTCAGATATGAAAAAGAAAAAATGGAAAACGTGCAGCTTAATAAGGTAATCTGCACTAATGAAGATTAGTGAAGATTAGTAAATCTTAGATCTCATTAAAACTCTACAAACACAGTTTTTGTTCTTAAAAAAATTATTATTTTCAAACTGAGAACAGTTATAATAGTAACATATTTCACCTCTCACAAAAAATGTGAACCTCTTCACATTAGCATGCTCTCCCTATATTTGGAAAATTTCAAGAGCATAGTCCACTCATGCAAATATATTGTATATTGTTGGTTTAATATCTAATTTATCTAATTTTGTTTTATTATTATTATTATTATATAGACTTATATGGACAGAACCATTATGCATTCCAGCTAAAAGCAAAAAATGCTGCAACTTTACTCGGTCTACCCTGTACGCAATGAATCAATCTAAAAAGCCAACAGTGTAACAACTTTACTCGGTCTGAACGCAATGAATCAATGAATCAATATGTCTACACATAGCCTACATTTTTAATACCCTTTCCTCGTGTCTTTCCACATCACTGCTCTATGCCACATTCATGCATCTTATAAATCATTTACCATGCTATTTCCTGATCATTTTCCTGGAAATGTACAACATAAAGTTTATTTTGAGAATAGGTAAGTACATTACTAAAGACAACTCACATAGCAGTCTCATCAACTGATCTCATCAAACTACAGCGGTATATTTTTGTACAGTCATTTGACTGCAAGAATCCACGCCTTCTGTGCACATTGAGTTTTACTGTAAGGAAAATAGCCTACTTCAATTTTCATTCTCAAACATAAAATAGAAGCAGGTTGATTTAGAGAAAATCATTTTAAAACTCCACCCGCAAACAAGCAGAATGACAAAATATATGCGATGAGTCTAACTAGGTCATATCAGCGAAAATCATACAGAAAACACTTATTTGGAGACGCCTGAAAGCAAGTGCCTGGTCATATACTCCCATTGAGGGGGGAGGAGGGGGGAACGATGGTAGGCTATAGTAGTATTAATTTAATTCTTTAAAATGCACGAAGGAAGATTGACTGCTGCCTTGCTGCGCAATAGGAGTCGAGGCGCTCGCTGATCATGTCTTTATTACCATTAAAGCTGCTTCGAGTGAAAGCACCTGCATCTCACAACGTTAAACACAAGCAAACCCGCATCGAGATGACACACCTTACGCTTATCTTATAGAAGACAAAAGCATGTAGGTTCTTACAGTCATACAGGACACGCATCCATCGATAGAAAGCTCATTTCTTACATAAATTCTAATTTTTACAGCAAACCATTGTTCAGCCATCATGTCGATATCATTTTATATAGCCCATGGTTACGGATAACTGTGGGCAGAATACATTCGTACAGACTTAGCTCAATTGCCATCTCATCCATGTTAAATCAAAAGCTTTTTTTTTTTTTTTATCATGCAGGATTTTTCTGTAGGCTATTAAATAAATCGCGAAAAAGTCATCAGGATTTAGGTGAGACCCAAATGCACAGAATGTGCATGTTTGTCGATTAGAAAATGCTGTCTTCGTTTCATGTGTTGAATTAATAGACATGTCTGAAATAGAGCTAAGTGAGAAAAATATAATTTCGAAAATGTTCTTACCTGATGATAACCGCCCACTCTTGAAGGAAGGCGACTGCAAACAATGCGGACTAGTGCGGTCAGTAGTGAGAGGAATCAGCGGCTGCGCATAGAGAAGAGCGGGTCTAAACCAGAGGCATCAAAACGCTTGTGCACATCAAAATCCACATACTCTTTTCCTGATTTTCCTTTCGGCAGACGCTTCTAAGCTTTGCATGTAGCTCTCTTTACTTATTTTAACGCCCGCCGTGATACCTTGCGGTGGAAACCCCACTGACAAATTTGTTGAGAAGAGAAAGATCTATCCCAGCTAACAAAAATAGAATATGCCATATAAAACGTTTGGCTAACGTTCCCATTAAGTTATGAGAACATTATTTCTGAATGTTCTCTGGAAAGTTTTAAAACGTTAAAGGAGAGTTCACCTAAAAATGAAAATTCTGTCACAATTTACCTACCAAGTTGTTCCAAACCATGTATGAATTTATTTCTTTGGCTGAACATTAAGATATTTTGAAGAATGTTTAGGAACTAAACCATTGTGAGGCACCATTGACTTCCATAGTAGGCCTATGGAAAAAATAAATAAACTAGGCTAGGCCTACTATGTCAGTTTTAATTGATTCACTTCCGTCGCAACGATCATAGTTATTAAAGGTGGGGTATGTGATTCTCTTTTTTGTACATTTTTTCAAAATAACTTGAAATCCTATTCCTAACCCACTTACAGCCACTGAGTTAGAAGCACTGAAATGAAAATTAAGCAATTTAATCATCTGTGGAACGGGCAGGACTCGAAAAACTCCAGCCAATCATTTCCAAGACCACCAGAATCATTGGACAGTAAGTCCGTCAATCAAACGGTTGTACCACACCCCCCTCCCCCCAGCGCGCGTGACCCCCGTCGTGCGCATACTCAAAGTTTGTGACGCATGCGCATCTCGTCAGTAAAGCCGATTCCATGATTAGTAGTAAATCGTCATTACAATCTCTCCCGCATCTGAGTTTTCGCTCGTGCATGATTGCGCGTCCATGTTCTTCGAATGGGTGGAGTCAGAGCCGGCGTTGGAGGAAAGAAGGTAGGACCATTTGAATTGTATATTTTCAAAATCTGCCGGTCGTTTTCCAAATCACATACCCCACCTTTAACTTAGGGGCCACACGACACCGTTTTAACAGAAAACTCTTAAGTTCACTCGAGCAAACTTTAAAGCTGCAGTCCGCAGTTTTTCCTCTTTGTCGCCATCTCTGTTCGAAATCTGCAATTGCAGTCATTCAAGGAATTATCAACTTTACGTGAGTTGTCGTTCGACACCGCACAGCGCGGATGAACACAATGTTTGAGGAGAGTGTGTGGCTGTCAATCACCGCGCGGTGTGGATACTGTCATTCAGAATCACAGATTATTCTTTTTGGAAGTATGACCAACATAATAATTTTCACCGGAAAATGTCATCTGAACAAGTAAGTAACATCCCCTTTTGTTCTGGTTCTGACATTGCAGTAAATCGCGCTGATTAAATCTAAAAATCGCTTATCATCATGCAAAACCGTGCAAATTATACTTTGTTCTCAACTTGTTAATGTTAACAACGTCAGCATTGCGTGACAACATCCTTCCGATATGTATCCTTGTTTTCGCATGGGTCCGGTTGCAGTCTCTTTTTTTCTGTAAGTTAGCCACTCCGAAGTCCGAACGAAGTCTTTTGCATTTTACAACGGGTGAATCTGTTGTCACTGGTGATTGTCGTTTGAACCTTTCTGGATCCGCCATCAAATTGATAAGTTTAATTATATCAAGTGCTGTGAGAAAAGGCTATAAATCTCCACCTCCAACATCCTCACACGCAATATAGCCTACTAGCCGAGACTCCTTCTTTATGTGTACAGATGTGACGTAATGATGCAAAGACATGCTCGAATTTCCAGCAGAAATCCACCAGTACCACTGGAATTAAAAACATTATTACAAGCTTACCGTTTTGAATCGAGCTAAGGCAAGCAGATAGTTTTGAACACTGGCTGGATATGTACTTGCTCAAAAATTTATTTTGGATAATTTTTAACCCAAAAAAGATACGAACTGCAGCTTTAATGTCTACAATAAAATAATGCACAAAAATTCTGTATGTCTGCTGACTTGACAGCTAAAGAGAGCAGAATTACTGTAGTCACTTCTTGCAGCATCTTGCACAATGATGGGGAGAATCTTCAGCCAGATCTTTTGATTATAGCTTGAAGGCCTGTGGGAAAAGCTGTTCTTGAGTATTTTATCCTTGCACGGATGCTTCTGAGAGCTCTGTGCAAAACAAGGAATGGATGTTGTCCTTTACAATGCTTTTTTTTCATTGTGATGGGGAAACATTGTGACATGGAACAGAAGTCTATGCGGACCAAACTGTGAATCTTTGTCCATTGCTTTCACACAAAATGCATTAAATGACCACATTTTCCAAAATCCATGAACACTTTTGTCATTCATACTTCACCATCTGCACAACACTATTGCAGCACATTTTTCAAATGCTAACACACTGCTTTCAAAAGCACATTCAAATCAGAATGATGATAAACTGTGCATTTTTGCAGTAATTATATTGAAATGTACAATCTTATCAGAATATTACAATAAAATTCAATACTAATTATCACAAACACAACTAATTGCAATTTCAGCTGAAATCCTTCCCATGTGTCCTATTTTTAGTCTCTATTTACAGTAGTTTTTTTTTTTAGTTATCTTTTGGAAATCAGGATGGCTTCAGAATGATTTTGTTTGAAACCCTGGATCAAGGAAGACACATTAGAGGGAAAAGAAGAGTGGCAGAGAGAGGGAGGACTAGATGGGTCACGGTACTTTATAGCCATCCATCTATCCCATCTATTCCATCCATCCATTTTCCAAAGCATTTGTCCTATATAGGGTCTATGGGAGGCTGGAGTCTTTCCCAGCGTCTCGGGTCGTAGACAGGAAAACACCCAAAACATATGTCCGGTCCATCACAGGGATGACAACACAGAAATAACATACAAACACTACACAGTAAGGCCTCCTATAGCTGGGACTCCAATATTGCATATGTGATTATACTATACATGTTTTTTTATGATTATTTTTTTTTTTGCTTCAGAATTTTGTTGTTGTTTCAACTTTTCATTTTTCGCTTGTAAATTAAAATTACTATATGTAAAGATGTAGAAAAAAAAAAAAAAAAATTGCTGCATTTTTCATTCATTCTTTATGCCGTAATACAGTCAGTAAAAATGAAAAGATCTTATTTTGTATCTTATAATGAATATTTATTTTAAAAAATCATTCAAACTTCAAAGATATAGGGGTGCGTTCCAGTCCACTTTTAGACACGCACTTTCCCTCGGGGAATCCCTGCCGCCATTTTGAAGTGCGTTCCACTTCGTGAAGTGGATGAGGGAAGTTTATTGGACAGACCCTCGCTCTCTCGATTTTGACCATAGATTTTGACAGAGGGAGCGAGTCTACTTTATATGTACACTTCAGGCAGCTCCATATACCACAATGCAACACGATTGTGACGTCAACACATATTGCGTTTACATAATTTACCCCACCACAAACAACTCTATGATATATATATATTAGTGCTGGGCAAGTTAACGCGTTATTATCGCGTTAACGCATTTATTAATTAATGGCGACAATTTTTTTATCGCACGTTAACGCAGTTTTTTTTTTTTTTTGAAAGTCCGTTGCACACTGGCTCTGAATAGGACATAGGCCTACAGTCAAACCATGGATCACAGGAGGGGTGGGATGTTGGTCAGCCAGCAAATAACCCACCCAAACCAGCAGTGGAGAGGCTTTGGCAGGTTCTCTCAGGTGAACAGAAAGGGAGACAGCGCTCCACGAGTGAATGACAGCTTGTCATTGACAGGCGCTCTATGGATAGTAACCATGGCAACGGCTTCTGTGCGCTACGCAGCTGTAGTCTTTTTAACTTAAATTAAAATTATACATAACTTACTTTACCTGATGTGCCTGCGTGTAGTTTAGCGGGGATGCTCTGCAATGTGAATTCCCTTCTGTTGATGTCCTGATAACTATTTAAATATTGGAAACTCACAAACAGCGAGCCGAGGATCAGTCTCTCTTCCAATGATTTGTAGCCTACTGCGCGTCGTGTACAAAAAGTTATAGACAATCAAAGTCCTTTTAGACAATTCAACTTCGGCAACGGGCGGGCGCGGGCGCGTGCGTGAGACGAGCGCGTGAGGATAGCATGACCATAGCATGCATAGCATGACCGCAACAGCATAGCATGACCGCAACAGTTTCACAGAACCCACCCGCTTGTCGCTGCACCTTGTGCTCGACCAATTCACCTCACTCTAAAAGGCTGATTTATACTTCTGTGTCGGACTTACGCTATACACTACGCGTTGGTTGGTTTTACTTCTGCGTCGTTGTCCGCGTTAACGCACAATTACACATGCAGAGGGAGCATGTGAAACCCGTGGAGCGGTTCTAGCAATCACAGCGCTTGCGGTACGCGTAGAATTGACGCGTTGTTACATTTTTGGAGAGGTGCACGTCAGGGTACGACGTAAGTTAGACGCAGAAGTATAAATTGGGCTTTACCTCTGTTTAATGCAATCTTAGTGTATGTGGGAAACCATGGCATGACCAAACCTAAGCTACTATCAGAGAAGTAACGTTGGTCGACTTATATCTCATGACCTCTGACTACATAGACTGTTTCTGCTGCTAAAAGACACCTGTTGATACCTGTTAAGGAAAAAACCAAGAAAACTGGACTCGTTTTAACAAGCTAGATAAAAGGTAATGCCCTGGCAGGGGCAAATAGCTTTGTTTTAAAGTTTTATTTGATTACATTAATGTTTAAGTTGAGATTTACAATAAATATTTTATTGCTGTGTAAAGGGAATACTGCTGGTATAAAGCACCTTATTTGTTTAAAGTTTTTGCAAACCACATGTTATTACACTTTTGTGTATATAGCAGTACATTTAAATCAAAAGTGAGTAATACACTACTTTAGAATTCATTATTAAAGTTTGCGCGTAACAATGCGATTAATCGCGATTAATCGCAAGAAAATCATGCGATTAATCACGATTAAAAAAATT